TGGGAGCTAGTTTTTCTTAGTGATCAGTTTTACTCTGCTGACGTGCCTCTTATGATTAGCATTTTTCTTACTCATTGTATAGGAAAATTGTTTCCTAGAGAGTTCTACAGGATTCCAGAACCAAAGACAATTAGAGAAACACAAAAACATAAACAGATAGACTTAGTGGAAATTAGGGTTTTAAAGACTCTCTGGCACTTGGTCCCTGGGTGCCAGCAAGCAAGAATATTTCCTTGAGTGCACATAGGGAAGATTACTATTGATAAGAGGTAAAAATGAAGTATCTATATTAATATTACAATCAGAGCCACAACAGGTTGTGAGGGAAACATATTTCCTTATTCTCCTGAGACAGAAGACTGGTGCGCAGAGAAAATGCAGACACGGAGTTCACCTTACCTAGCCTTTAAGGTCAACAGCACCTCAGTTTCAGCTGCTATCTTTCCAAAACTAAGGAAAAGGCCTGCACTCCAGTTTCTGAACCCTCTCCAGAATTCTCTTTTAAGCCTTCTGTAGCCAACTCTCAGTGCTCTCAATGCTGTCAGGCTGGAATTCCAACCTCTCAATCCTTTTCCCCCTGCAGCTCAACTTCAGAGTTCCATACAGAAAAGTAGTTCCTTCCCCCAATTGATACACTACAAGAAAATCTGATTTCTCCTGCTTCTGTTATCTGTGGTCTAACTTCATTTGATGTGGTATTCAATTTTGTTTTTCCTTCCCACTACTTTTGAATATTTTAATTCACTGCCAGTTTAAGATTTGAACTACTTTTGATTAAAAAAAAAATAATACTGTGATGAGGTTTTCTCTATTAGAAATATCAATTGTTGCAAAATCTCACAGATGTTTGCTCAGGAATTTATTTTGATCTCTGAGGAATTTCACTATTAACTAACAAAAGTGGAAATACATCCTTAGCGATCTACTGTTGAAATGACTCAGGAATATGTGCCACATTTGATCTTTTGGTCATATTTATAATTTTTGTCATCTTGAGTGTTCCTTGACCCTGCATAAATTTGCCTCCACCTTCCATGAAGGCCTATTAAAATGAAAATCATGTCAAGGAACATTTTATTCCCCTCCTACCTATATTTTGTATTGTAGAATGTAGGCAAACTTTACAAAACTTCATGGTAGCAGTTCTTTTTTACGTAGGAAGGAAATACCAGGGTATCTATGACCACATTTCAATATTTAGTATTTAAACCAAACATGGTTAACCTAGGATATTTTTTTCTTTTTTGGGGGGTGGGTCCAGTCATGGGGTCTGAACTCTGGGCCTGGGCGCTGTCCCTTACCTCTTCAGCTCAAGGCTAGCACTCTACCACTTGAGCCACAGTGCCACTTCTGGCTTTTTCTTTTTGCTTATGTGGTGCTAAGGAATCAAACCCAGGACCTCATGCATGCAAAGCAAGCGCTCTACCACTGAGCCACCTTCCCAGCCCAACCTAGGATATTTTTATATAGGAACTAAATCAAATCTTATAAGGGCCCCAAAAATCATTAGCTTCTTTCTGAAGTACTGCTACTGTGTTTTAACATTCATGTGGACACTGCTTTTCATAGATCTGGTCATGTTCTATGTTCTGTATTCCATGTGATATTCTGAATATGTTCTGTTTGCTTATTATAGTACTTGTTAATAGAAGATCTAAATAGGATGTATGGTGATGTAGTACATGTAAATGCAGGAAAAATATTTGTGTAATTCATTGTTACCCTGATATGTACTAAAATTTTATCAAAAAATGATAATATAATTTTTAAGATACCCCCTTAGACTTATTGTTGTCATGACAGATTATTGTCTGCTTAGAATTTTTTTTTTTTGGCAGGGGGTCTGGTCCTGGGGCTGAACTCTGGGCCTGGGCGCTGTCCCTCAGCTCTTCAGCTCAAGGCTATTGCTCTACCACCTGTGCCATAGCGCCACTTCTGGCTCTTTTCTTTTTGCTTATGTGGTGCTGAGGAGTAGAACCCAGGGCCTCATGCATGCAAGGGAAGTGCTCTACCACTGAGCCACCTTCCCAGCCGTCTGTAGAATTTTTACCTTGTCTCTATTGCTAGCAGCAGAAATGTGTTTGCATGCATTAGGGAAACTGTAATTTTTTATTGGTCTTGGGCTTCAATTCTGGGCCTGGCTGTTGTCAATCAGCTCTTCGGGTCAAGGTGAGTGCTCTACCCCTTGAGTTACAGTGCTAATTTCAGTTTTCTGGTGGTTTATTGGAGATAAGTGTCTCATGGACTTTCCTGCCTGGACTGTCCTTGAACCATGATCCTCAGAACTCAGCCTCCTGAGTAGCATGGATTACACGCATAAGCCACCAGGGCCCTACAAATCTGTGTATTTTAATGACCAGGTTTATATATTGTCAAATATTTCTAATTTGTTATTTAATTCTCCCAGTGAATAGATAACACAGCAAGCTACAAACATTTTTTGTAAGACAAAAGCATACCTGCAGCATAATGAAATTCCAGATTGGAGTTCTTATAACCCAGGTCTGATTTCTTGATGGACATGTGCCATTACAGAATTTGATATCATTTGAGGATGTGGCTGTGGACTTCACCTGGAAGGAGTGGCAGGATCTGGATACTGGTCAGAGGACCCTTCATAGAGATGTGATGCTGGAGACCTATAGCAACCTCATGTCCTTGGGTGAGCAAAGGTCATTTTTACTTGGAAGATCAAGTGTTTTTATTTTATTAGACATTAGACTGTTTAGGTTATTTAGGGATAAGATTCCAGTCCATTGGAAGTTTCATTTCTTTCTAAGGGAAACTTCAACTTGATTATATGTAACTCAAGAGCTAATTTTATTCTCACTCTTTAACAAAGCAAATCAGTAATTGGAAAAAAATCCTAAACTATGTTCCACTAATACGAGACTGACTTCCCAGACTTGGAATGATTATTGAGGTGGATCTGCAGTCTAGATAGAATATACATTACTACTGATTATGATGTGGAAATCAGTAGTTGAAAGTGTGTATTTGTACACCAAACCCGATATAGAGTTTAGTGCTTCAAGCTTTGAATTCTAGATACTCTGGAGGCTGAAATCTGAAGATTTTGGTTTGAAGCCAGCAACTGTAGAAAAATGACCGTGAGACTCTTATCTTCAATTAACCATTCAAAAACTAGAAATGTAGCTATGATTCAAACTTGTAGAATGCTATCTTTGAGCAAAAGAGCTGAGTTCAAGCCACACAATTGGCACAATAAACCAAAGCTGGGGAAACTCCACAATTGGGCTGTTAAGAATTGAGAAACTGCTACTCAGAAGGCTGAGATCTGAGGATCGCGGTTCAAAGCCAGCCCGGGCAGGAAAGACCGTGAGACTCCTATCCCTAATAAACCACCAGAAAACCGGAAGTGGCCCTGTAGCTCAAGTGGTAGAGCCCTCGCCTTGAGCTGAAGAGCTGAGGGACAGCGCCCAGGCCCAGAGTTCAAGCCCCATGACCGACAAAAAAAAAAAAAAAGAATTGAGAAACCATGGGCTGGGAAGGTGGCTCAGTGGTAGAGTGCTTGCCTTGCATGCTTGAGGCCCTGTGCTTTGATTCCTCAGCACCATATAAGCAGAAAAAAAAGCTGGAAGTGACGCTGTGGCTCAAGTGGTAGAATGATACCAAGACAGGGATTCTGATCAAGCTGCCAATTTTTATTTTTCACACAAGGGTATTTATATGCTTGGAATAAGTAAGCTTTTTCATTGGCCGAAGCAGCTGCAGGGTGCTTGCTTAGGGCAAGGTGAAAAGGTGGTTGTTAGTAGCTGCAGGGTGTTTACTTAGGGCCGGGTGAAAAGGTGGGATTCTGTAAACTCAGCCTCAAGATGTTCCAGTGAGATAGTTCAGCCTATTATGTTGAGAGACTTAACTTTTGGCTCCCAACACTACCCCCCCCCCCCCCAAAAAAAATAACAATTGAGAAATAAGATTTAGTAGCAACCTTGGAAACAGGATGTCTGTGACCTTACACTAATGATGACCCTGCAAGAGCAATAGTTCTCCACTATTTCTTAATCACAGGGCTCTGTGTTCCTAAACCTAAATTGATTGTCAAGCTGGAGCAAGGTGCAGAACCATGGATAAGAGAAGGCTCAGAAGAGAATTTCACAGGTGAGTTAAAGCATCTTGAATGGTAATGATGGGTCCAGAGCCCAGTTGGTCTGTTTAACTTGAGCTGTACAGAGCAATAGTATTCCTAGTGCTGCTGAGTCATGTATGGCAGAGAAGTAGGTGATCCTTTGTCTCAAGGAATTGTCAATCCAGAATTCACATGGAGACAAACTGAATTTTGTGTGCCAGTGTAGTTAATGTTAGCAATTCTCTTGTCTTTAGAGAAGTCATTCTTGAAGAAAGAAACACAATGAGAAATGTAGAAAAGGAGAACTCATTTTCCTTTAAACTAGTATGATGCAGGTAGGAGGAAAATAGGAGTATGCTAGGGCTGCTATCCTCTGATTGGTACAATTTCTTATCAGTGGTGCTGGGCATAGAGTAAGATTCAGAATGGAAGCATTAAGAGTACGTAGATGAATAATTTCAGTAAATATTTCCTGGAGAAAAAAAGAAAAATCTGAAAAACCGAAAACATTGTTTTCTATTGTAAAATATCAGTACTACTTTCTTAATTACTACATTGGGTAGAAAAGTATATATTCTGCATAAAACTGTGCTTTGATATTTGAAAATCTTGTAACAGAAAGTGAGGAAATATCTTTACATTAAGGAATTTATGGATCTCATTTATGTTTTTCTCTATTTTTCTATTATTCATTTTAGATGTCCCAGAATTGGAGGATGTGATTAGCACCTGCCAGGAACGTCACAATAAGGATCTCTCTGAAGTAGCAGTCATGAGTAGTAACCAAGGGAAGGAAAAAGTGAGACTTATAAGAAGTTTTCATTTGAGCTCAACACAGAAGTCAGAACTGATTAAGAATAATGGGAACTCCTTAGGGATGAGGACAGAAAAGTTCACTGTGTGTCAGAACATGGATGCTTTCAGTGAACCTGGTAAGATATGTGCTGCATATAGACCTCATGTGTCTTCTGTAGTTGAAGAATATAAACAGTGTGAAAGGTCTTTCACTGAGAAGACACACCTTATTCTCCCTCAGAGAACACAAACAGGAGAGAATCCTTATGAATGTAATATGTGTGAAAAGATTTTCACATGTAAGGCATATCTTACTGTCCACCAGAGAATCCACACAGGAGATAAACCATATGAATGTAATGTGTGTGGAACGTCTTTCGCTCAGAATTCACACCTTACTGTCCACCAGAGAAGACACACAAGAGAGAAACCTTTTGAATGTAACATTTGTGAAATGTCTTTCACCTGTAAGTCAAGCCTTACTATTCACCAGAGGACACACACAGAAGAGAAACCTTATGAATGTAATGTGTGTGGAAAGTCTTTCACCCGGAAGCGAAACCTTACTGGCCACCAGAGAACACACACAGGAGAGAGACCTTATGAATGTAACGTGTGTGGAAAGTCTTTCACCTGGAAGACAAACCTTACTGTCCACCAGAGAACACACACAAGAGAGAAACCTTATGAATGTAACATGTGTGGAAAGTCTTTTTCTGGCAAGCCAGGCCTTACTGGCCACCAGCGAACACACATAGGAGATAAACCTTATGAGTGTAACATGTGTGAAAAGTCTTTCACCTGGAAGTCAAACTTCATTGTCCACCAGAGAACACACACAGGAGAGAAACCTTATGAATGTAACACATGTGGAAAGTCTTTCACCCGGAAGGCATACCTTACTTTCCACCAGAGAACACACAGTGGAGAGAAACCTTATGAATGTAACTTGTGTGGAAAGTCTTTCTCCAAGAAGGTACAATTTACTGTCCACCAGAGTACACACACAGGAGAGAGACCTTATGAATGTAACTTGTGCGGAAAGTCTTTTACCTGGAAGTCATCGTTCACTGCCCATCAGAGAACACACACAGGAAAGAAACCTTATGAATGTCATATGTGTGGAAAGTCTTTTAGACAGCAGGTATACTTTACTCTCCACCAGAGAACACACACAGGAGAAAAACCTTATGAATGTACCATTTGTGGAAATTCTTTCACCCAGAAGTCAAACCTTACTTGCCACCAGAGAACACACACAAGAGAGAAACCTTATGAATGTAACATGTGTGGAAAGTGTTTCACCTGGAAGTCAAACCTTACTGTCCATCAGAAAACACACAGGAAAGAAAACTTATGAATGTCATATGTGTGGAAAGTCTTTCAGCCAGAAGCCAGACCTTACTGTCCACCAGAGAGCACACGCAGGAGAGAAATTTAATGAATGTAACTTATGTGGAAATTCTTTCACCCAGAACATACACCTTTCTGTCCATCAGAAAAAACCCCACCAGAGAGAAATGTTATGTATGTAGCAGGCATGGAAATTCTTTCACCTGGTAGGCACACCTTAACATCCATCACATAACATAAAGGCAGAAACCTTATAAATGCAACAGAGTTCACAGCTAAATACACATAAGTTGATTCACACAAATGAAATAACTTAGGATTGTACCAAGTGGGGAAAGTCTTTCATCTGTAAGAAAATTGAAATTGCAACACAGGACCCACACGGCATAGAAACCTTATGGTATAGCAGATGTAGAGTCCTCCAATTAGAAGACACAGCTCAGGGTTCATCACAAAACACACAGACACACACACACCCACTCACACAGCAAGAGGAGAGAAATCATATGTAGGAAAATAAATGGAAAGGTTTTCAAGAAAAAGTCATAACTCAGTTTGCATCAGAGAACAGACACAAGTGAGAAAATATAAATGTAAAAAATGTGGATAGGGGGCTGGGAAGGTGGCTCAGTGGTAGAGTGCTTGCCTTGCGTGCATGAGGCCATGGGTTCAATCCTCAGCACCACGTAAGCAAAAGGAAAAAAGCTGGATATGGCACTGTGGCTCAAGTGGTAGAGCGTTAGCCTTGAGCTGAATTGCTGAGGGACAGTGCCCAGGCACAGAGTTCAGGCCCCACAACCGGACCCTCCCCCAAAAAGAAATGTGGATAGTGCTTTACCAAGTAGTCATGGATACAGGTTCATAGGACACACACAGCGGAGTAATCTTAAAAATATTACAAATGTGGAGAGCCTTTGATCTGAAAGGAATAGCTCAGTGTTCATCAGAGAACTGACTCACATGGGAGAGAAGAAAGTAGTGCATAGAACATTTTTGAAATGATTTTCAATCAGAATTGAATCCTCAGCATATGTAAGAGCATACACAGGAGAGAAATTATGAGTTTAGAAAACATTTGGCCAGAAGTCCCATCTGTACAGGTATCAGAGACCTGGACACATGACAGAATCCCTGTAAACATAAACATGAGAGGAAGTCTTTCAACCAGAAGCCAACCTTCTGCAGTTATTAAAACATTCACCCAGGAAAGAAGCCCAATGTAGGAAAATCTTTGTCAGAAAACCTCCGTAAGATGCTGGAGGGGATGTGGACAGAAAGGAACCTTACTTCATTGTTGGTGGGAGTGTAAACTTGTTCAACCACTTTGGAAAGCACTTCACATAGAGCTCCCCTATGACCAAGCAATCCCTCTTTTGGGCATTTACCCAAATGTTTACAAACAAAATCACACTAAAGCTACCAGCACAACTTTGTTTATTGCAGCATTATTTACCATAGCTAATATATGGAACCAACCCAGATGCCCCTCAGTAGATGAATGGATCAAGAAAATGTGGTATATATACACAATGGAATTCTATGCCTCCGTCAGAAAGAATGGCATTGCCCCATTTGTTAGGAAAAGGAAAGGCTTGGAAAAAATTATATTAAGTGAAGTAAGCCAAACCCAAAGAAACATAGGTCCCATGGTTTCCCTTATTTGCAATATCTAGTATATGTATGAGTCAAGCAGAAAAGGTCAGATAATGTGATGTTAGGAAAATGAACCCTTCGATATGTATTTAAATGTTTTTTTTTCTTTCATGCATTTGTTTTTAACGCATTTATAAGATTATTTCTTTGTTGCTTTGTATGTCCTTCCCCACAGTATAACCCCTGCTTTCCCTATATTTGATGTCGGTATAATTTGTGGAGAAGAAGGGAAAAACAAGTCGTTTAAGGTTACAGGTGGACCCGTTGCAACAATGAGAAGTACAAGTTGTCATGTCGAAAATGAACTTTACAACTTTGTTGGGGGGGGCAGATCGTGGGGGGGGGGGGGGGGGACAGGGGAAGGCTGGAAGGGATGTGAAGGGTAAACAAAGGAGGAGGCTACAATGCTTGATAAGAAATGTACGCATTAACCTGCCCATGTAATTGTAACCCCTCTGTACAGTATGTTCACAAAAAATAAAAATAAAATAAATAAAAAGAAAATGAACTTTACAACTTTGGTGGAGGGGAGATTGCGTGGGGGGGCGAGGGGAGGCTGGGAAGGGATGTCAAGGGTAAACAAAAGAGGAAGCTGCAATGCTTGATAAAAAATGTACTCATTATCTCGCCCATGTAATTGTAACCACTCTGTACAGTATGTTCACAATAAAAAAACGAAAAGAAAAAGAAAAGAAAACCTCTGTAAATTATACAGAGAAATCCTTCATAGCAGATGTAAACTGGGTGTGATGGGAAACCATTCTTCACCCTTCAGCTCTCTAAGCCAACATTTCTCATCCTTTCATCGTGTTGAGTGGGGATGGTGTCATTCAATATTATCCAAAGCATGTAGAAAAAACCAGTCTCAACAAGTAATTCAGAGATTGAAGTTATTAACTTGTGTCTTTTATACTAAGGAATAGTTTGTTAGGGTAATTTGATAAACTCTTCTTAGAAAAATGAGCTCTGGCCCTTTGGGACTGGATTCAGACCATCTCCAACATGGTTAGGGGAACAATAGATGGGTAAAGACTGTTATGATAGGAGGCAACCAGTTTTCTACTGCTCCCTTATGTCTCCCTCTGTATGTGTGATCCATGTCTTATAGTACAAATGACTTACTATTCCAGTTCAGTTTTGAATGGAAGATCTGATGGAAGATATTACTCCTTATTGCAGTACATCCATAGTAGTAAAATCTTTCTCAGAGCGGTAACAATGCTTGATAGGAAATGTATTCATGACTTCCTCATATAATTGTATAATCAATCTATACAGTATCTTTACAATAAAAATTCAAAAATGTGGTGGATAAATAAAGACAAGAGTCTGCATTTTGTCTTAGGGGAGAACCCCAAAATGTCTTCAGTGCTTGCTTTTTTCTTTAATTACTGGTGATGAATAACTTGTGATTGATTCACTCTTAGCCCATTTAGTTGTTTTGCTGAGTGAGCTGTGATAAAACACCAGTGTGGACGATGTGATGAGCCTGCATTTTCTCAATGTTCTAGAGGCTGATTACAAATTTTATTGCCCTTACTTTGAAATACAATATGATGTTCCATATTTTGTTTGTGCAATGAGTATATATCCATACCATGAGTATATATCCAAAACCAAGAACACATATATTTCTGAAGTGGGTATCTTTTTTTTTTTTTTGGTCCAGTTGTGGGGCCTGAACTCTGGGCCTTGGTAATGTCCCTCAGCTTTTCAGTTCAAGACTAGCGCTCTACCACTTGAGCAACAGCGCCACTTCTGGCTTTTTCTTTTTGCTTATGTTGTGCTGAGGAATCGAACTCAGGGTATCATGCTTGCAAGGCAAGCGCTCTACCACTGAGCAATCTTCCCGCCCCGAACACATATATTTCTTTGATATGAGAAGAAGGCTTTCATTTGCTATCTCATGAAGGACTAAGATAGATAAGACATTAGGCAAAATAAGACATTTTGCAATCACTCGCAAAAATTTAAGTTAACAAAAAATAAAACTATCTGCCACTTGAGCTATAGCATCACTTCTAGGCCGAGAGGAAGGAAGGAAGGAAGGAGGGAAGTGAGAGAGGGAAAGGGGAAGGGAAGGAAGGAAGAAGAAGAAACAAATTATTCGAAAGAAGAATGTTTAATATTTGGTGAATGTGAGAATTATTCTTTCAGAGGTGGGGCTCAAGAAAAATGGCTTTTACATAAAGCAAATTCTTGAACTGTTTAGAAAATGATACAGACGCTGTAACATTTTATAAATTGATTTACTAATTCAGTAATATTAAGTAAGGAGGTCAGGTGTGGCTGGTGCCCTACTTGCCACATGGTGGATGGTGGGGTCTGGCATCTTGTCTTCATGCAGGGGGAAGGAAAAGCCCCATCCATCACTTGCCACCCAACTGATGGGTGTGGCTGGATCCCTGCAAGCAGGCATGGGCATTTGGCTGATATGTTACTCAATCTGTTAGTTCAGTTCCTGGGACTGGGAATTTCCTGTGGACCTGCCTCCTGCTTAGGCCCTATTTAGGCTGGACCAGCAGTGGCACCAGATGCCATGGTACATGTCTCTGTGATCATGTCCTGTGTCCTGTCTCCTGGCTTGTCTCTGGTCATCATAGTGTCCCAATTCAGCACTCTCTCGGTTCTGATTGGTTTCTTGGTGTTGTTTTTATTCTTTTTTCCCCCTTTCTGTCCTGTTTCCAAGCTGTCTAAGTGTATTTGTGGACAGCAAGTCTTTGTTACAACAGGTTGCTTGCAGACTGCTAGCTGTGTAATAGACTCCAGCATTCCATCTTCCGAAATGTGGCATTCTACAAATATACTGTCTTCTTTTACAGAAACACAAAGATTGACCTAAATTTATAATTTCTTGAGCCAAGATAGATGCCACTGTATAGTTATGTAATTAAAGATATCCTGGAGGCATTTAGAAGAAATGTCTGTTACATCAGAAAGTGCTTAATTAGTAAACCAAGACCAAGACTCTAGATCCTATATAAGCCAATCATTCTAGATATGTCCAGAGCTGTTTGGTTACATGAAGAGCTCTACTTTCACACTTGCATGAAGAAATGTTTTTGTGCCAGTATGAGGTGTTGACCTCAGGAACTGAGGTGAAGCCAGACAGTGCTGGCTTCAAAGGAGATTCTTTCATCTTGACCTCCATAAAAGCTAGGAATCAAAGCATGAGCCCTGTGGGCTATTCTGAAGAAATCTCTGTCTGGGAACAAGAGGTTTCATTCAATGCTTCGCCTCTGGCTTCCTGTCCCTTCAACAATTTCAGTA